TTTTAGAACTTGGAATTACTTTGGAAAGTAGAATTATTACATAGAAAGATCTTGATCTTTTTTTTCTTTGCAAGTTTTATGGTATTATGTTGAACATTATGTTGAATTTGAAATTCCTTGGAAAATATTATTTCATTACGATTATTTTTTGAAAGACTTTGCAAGTTCCTCTTTTATAGTATTCTAGTATTCTAGTATTCTAGTATTTCTCGTAGCGCTAGCATTGAATTCAGAATTCTTAATATTAGGGAAATTAGGTATTTTAGAAAATATCATTTCGTTAGAATTACTTTTGGATTGCTATTATTACTATTGTTTGTGGTGTTATTATTACTATTACTATTACTATTTGGATTGTTATTATTACTATTATTTGTGGTGTTATTATTACTATTACTATTTGGATTGTTATTATTACTATTATTTGTAGTGTTATTATTATTATTTGTGATGTTCTTATTACTATTATTTGTGGTGTTATTATTACTATTATTTGTGGCGTTATTATTAGTTGTTATTCATGTAATGTTATATGTTTTCTAAATTTTTGTGGATTTGTAGCATTTTATATGCCAGTACTGAACTTAGAATTCCTAGTATTAGGAGAATTTTGGAAGATGTGTATTATTTCATTGAAAATAATTTTCATAAAACCCCATTCTTTTGTAAATTTCTCTGGATTTCTAGTACAGTATTTCAAACGTTATACTATTACTATTACTAAAATGTCTACTAGTATCTAAATGATGATTTTTCAATTACTAGCAGATATTCTACTCTGGTTCACACAACATTTGAATATTGAAATATTCGAAAAATACTGGGTCCGATAAAGAAGACTCTATTATACTTTAAGTATTGATTTTGCTGACCAAAATAATGATTGTGACAATTAGAACGAATATTCAAGTACTTGCATGAAATTTTAAAGTGCAAAACTACTCAACATGAAATATCCATACTATACTTTAAAAACAATATTCTATCAAGATCTTATTCTTTCCTTTTCTAATTAATCTTAATTTTTTAATTAAGAATCTCAAAACTTCTCAAAAACATGATTTTTCATAAAACTCAACGTCAAATAACGTCAAATTTTAGACAATAACGTTTCTTAAGATCTGAAACTGTTAAATTACACTAAACTCAAACTATTAAACTATCCACCACTTTCCTGCCAACTTCATCTCAATTCTGAAGCGCGTGTGACGCCCCATTTGGAAATAAATTTTATTCAAAAGACATAGGGAACTGTTCCCTAACCATATAGGATTTCCATCAATTCGCTGAGGTGGCTGGTTAGTTGAATAAGCATGTCGCGGCAGGTTGAACCGTAGTAACGAAAAGGAAGAAGTGCAACGTAAGTGGTTCGAAGTAATGACTGTCTGTAACGACCATCGTTATCATTTCTAAGTCCCTTTTCCACGTTCACCGGCGTGTCCGAGCCTCGTCCAGTTATCCGTAACGATGATCCCATCGGGAAAGCTGAGTCCGTAATCCGATCCGACGTTATCTCGTTCCAATTAAAAGTGGAAATTTAATTGGCCGCGATTATATTGCACTTTCACTAAATGATAAAATTTAGTTCACATCACACGAGCTGCGATAAGGAAGCTGAAATTTTACGGCAAACGAGACGAAACGTTGCGTTCTACAACGCAATTTTATTCGCGATCATTCAACAGGAATATATTCGCTCAAATATCTCTAAATTCTCCTCTGATACCGTGCGCGTTTTGTCGTATGTACGTATTCTGACAGTCGAAATTTATACGCGCACATTTCAACTACCGGCGATTTATTTTCCAAATAAAGCCACAACTGTAACAAAAGTTGCGAAATCTGGAAATCGAGCTTTCCAATTGTTCACGGCCTTTCTCTTTTTTACGACGAATGAATAAATAATATTTTCGGATCAACTAATTCAGCGACGCTGAAGTTATATAGTTGAATTTAAATAAATTGTTAAATCTACGAAACGAGACATTGAAAAGTGCCGATTTCACGAAAATATCAAACGACCGCGAATTTTTCTCTTTCAAGCAATTTGATTGACTTTTGAATGGGAAAAGTACCAACTTGATTATCGAATAAAACCGCAACTTGCAATTTTATTCAAACTTTTCGAACCTTCCGAGTCTAATATTTTTGAATAAGAAATATCAGCTTGACGATTTTACAAAGTGGACACGCTTACGAGATTTATGCAGAACAATATAATTATAAACGCCAATCCTACAAAAAAAAAAAATGCATTGACTATGAATTTTTTCCATTTCCTTGAATTTCAAGATTAAAAAAATTTCTCTTTTCTTGCATTGTATTCTACTCATTACGAAGGTAAAATTTTCCCAAAGAATAATAAGTCGCAATCTAATAGTTTTCTTGAAAAATGGCAAAAAAGCGTTCTTAATCGTGCTAACAGCGACTTTAGGATTCTGGACACGTGGATGTCTATATCACTATATTAGTTAGTTTAATCATTTGATTATTTAGATTTACAATGACGAACTATGATAAATCAAATATTAATGAAACCTAATATAAAAATAGGGTGCTAACAGCGACTTTATGATTTTGGACGCGTGGATGTCTATATCATTATATTTATAATAGTTAGTTTAATCATTTGAGTATTTACATTCACAATGACGAACCATGATAAATCAAATATTAATGAAACCTAATATAAAAATAGCGTCCTAACAGCGACTTTATGATTCTGGACGCGTAGATGTCTATATCATTATATTTATAATAGTTAGTTTAATCATTTGAGTATTTACATTCACAATGACGAACCATGATAAATCAAATATTAATGAAACCTAATATAAAAATAGCGTGCTAACAGCGACTTTATGATTCTGGACGCGTGGATGTCTATATCACTATATTTATAATAGTCAGTTTAATCATTTGATTATTTAGATTCACAATGACGAACGATGATAAATCAAATATTAGCGAAACCTAATAATAAAATTACGTAAAATAAACATTTATGCGTCTAGAATCATAAAGTCGCTGTTAGGACTCAGGCGTTCGCAAGAAACTTTTTTGCCATTTTGGTTATGGTTCCTGCTTTTTCGGTTTTTGCCTATGATTTCTTGGAAAAAATTTTACCTTCGTGACAAGTAGAATACAATTCCAAAAAAAAAAAGAAATTAACCTCTAAAATTCAAGGTCAAGATCAATTTTGCAGCAATTTTACACGTATTCCCATCAAATCGAAGGTGTAGAATCCACGATAAACATTTCTTTCCAATACCTACCCAGCTTCGGTAATTTCTTAAACCGTACACGTTCACGAGGCTTGCATCATACCGGAAAAAGAAATCCTGTCAGCGCTCAAGTGACATTTCGAGTACGAAAGGATTAAAAAGGATTATTCTTCCCGCGAGGGCGACACAGGAGGAGGGGTGGAGGGGGGGTTGGATGTTTACATGCGGAAGTTCTCAGATGCTTCTGGTTAGCTCGTGTTGCCCGGACTCGAACCTTTCGTTTCAGGCCTCTCTGATTCACGTGTACGTTCCGAGTGCATGTGAACTGCATGTAGGACAATTATCCGACGATTGCCGGAGATTCCGAAGAATCGGTGCCGTCGATGATTTAACGCGCTGATGCAAACGGGTTTCTCGAGATTTTTAAGGGTCACGACGTCCCGAGAATTTACACGGTATTTGTAGCTGAGCACGACGTGAATTTTCATTAGGGGATGGGGAGGAGCTGAAAGAATGTCGCTCGTGGCATGTCTCGCTGTTAATGTGCCACGCGACGTTAATTAGATCTTTCGCTTCCTGGTCGAATGGGAATTTCTTCTTTTCCTTTTGCAACGACGTGTCATTTTGAAATTTTCCAGATACGCACGTGTATTTAAATCACTATCGTTGCTGTTTTCTGAAATTTTTTTAGACGTGTACCTATGTTTAAGAGTGTTTGAATTAATTCGATCGTATCATTCTGAAACTTTTTAAACACATACGTACGTTTAAATACGTTCGAATCAAGTGATCGTATCGTTCTGAAATTTAAATATTTTAAATATTTAAATATTTTAAATTTTATTACATTTTATTAAATTTTAAATATTTTATTAAATTTTAAATATTTAAATATTTTAAATTTTATTACATTTTATTAAATTTTAAATATTTTATTAAATTTAAAATATTTAAATATTTTAAATTTTATTAAATTTTAAATATTTAAATTTTATTACATTATTTTAAATTTTATTACATTTTATTAAATTTTAAATATTTTAAATTTTATTAAATTTTAAATATTTAAATTTTATTACATTATTTTAAATTTTATTACATTTTATTAAATTTTAAATATTTTAAATTTTATTAAATTTTAAATATTTAAATTTTATTACATTATTTTAAATTTTATTACATTTTATTAAATTTTAAATATTTTAAATTTTATTAAATTTTAAATATTTAAATATTTCAAATTTTATTAAATTTTATTAAATTTTAAATATTTAAATATTTCAAATTTTATTAAATTTTTTTAAATTTTAAATATTTAAATATTTTAAATATTCTCAAATATTTGAATTAAACGATATGTTCGGATACGTTTAAGTATGCTTGAACTAGGTGATCGTAATTTTGATTCTGACATTTTTTGAACATTTGAATTGCACAAGTGTATTCTGCAAACTTTTGAAATATGTCAAATATTCGAAATACAATCGAGAATTATAACTGTGTGAAATAACATACTATTACGAAAATCTTGTAATTTAGCAGATATTCGAAGAATAATGTAATTATTATCAAATTAAAAATTTAATGATCTAAAATAAATTTCGATTAATCGTCTTCAATATTTAATTACACGAACATTAGCAATGCTTCTTTTTATCCGCATGCAAAGCTATATTCATCAATTTGCTCTATTGTAATATACTGTGTGCTTTGTCCCGTAGGAATAAATCAATGTGGCGTAATTCCTCAATTAAGGTTTTAATAACATTTGCACAGAATCCTGACGAATGAGTCGCTGTGGAAATTATGAAACGTTAAACACACCCCAAAGGCAAAGGCACACCCTTGCATTTAAGGTAAGTTTCTTTTTTTTTTATTAACCTCTAAATAGTATTCGTGACTACAGTAATTTTTTCAAGTTATTTGTTTTATTCTGTATCTTTCTCTTTTTTCCTAATTCAGAGATTATAAAACTCACTCGAATCAAACAGAAACAAATTTCTATGCCATCGAGTATCCAATGGTAGCAGTTAAAAATTAAACGAAATACTCATCCAGCAGTTATTTCTTTGATGAATATTTCTTCTACAAACTACGAACAATGTAACTCGAAATTTTGAAAATGTCGTAGAAAATGAACGAAGAGAAAATAAGGCGGTCATTACAATAATGCGTACCATTATATCAATGGTGTTCTTTTTCTCTTTTTCTTTTTTTTTTTTCTTATTCTTCGTTATTTTCTCTGCCATTCTCCCTCATCGTCGATAGGAGATATTCGATAAATTATACGGGTAACATTATAATGCAAGATCTCTAATTCCATTAAACTTCACGTAAAAAAACGGAGAGGGCGAAATTATTTGCGTAACTGGGACAGAAACTTGCACACTACTTCAGACAGAGTTGATTTATGGATTTGGTCGTAACTCTCGCCTGGAAACAAAATGACCCACTTGCATTGCTCAAAACGTTGCGAGTGTCTTCGGTTCACTTTGTCTTTCACAATTTTCGAAGAACTTAATTCTATGCGTCGACGTGCTTTAATTTTATAAATTTTGTAAATTGTTTTACCGTTTTATTTAATTAAACACTGGAACTAAAACAAACTAAATTTTTATCAGTGTTAACTAAATAAAATTTTATTGGAACTAAACCAAGCTAAATTTTTATCAGTGTCAATTAAATAAAACTGGAACTAAACCAAACGAAATTTTCATCAGTGTTAATTGAATAAAATTTTATTTAATTAACACTGGAACTAAACCAAACGAAATTTTTGAAATTAATCATTGAAATTAATACTGATTTTTATTTAGACAAAGACGTGATTGCATGGATCGATTTATTTTTTAGAATGCTGTAATGATTTATATGTATATAGAATATACGTATAATATAATAGAAATATATTCTTATAATAGAATATATAATAGAATATATATTAATATAATAGAATATATATTTATACGTATAATATAATAGAAACTGGTAGTTTCATTGTTCATATATTTTTCAAGTGTATTTCTCTCATAGAATTAATATTTTATAAATTAAATCATATTAAATAACATTAAATAACATTGAATAATATTTTATTAAATAATAATTACAGTTGTCTGCTATTTGTTTGCAAAATAAACCCGTGTCCTTCTTAAAATTCCTTCAAGTACTCGTATATACTTCTACAAGCATATCATTCCTTATTGTCCAGTTGTCTGCTATTTGTTTGCAAAATAAACCCGTGTCCTTCTTAAAATTCCTTCAAGTACTCGTATATACTTCTACAAGCATATCATTCCTTATTGTCCAGTTGTCTGCTATTTGTTTGCAAAATAAACCCGTGTCCTTCTTAAAATTCCTTCAAGTACTCGTATATACTTCTACAAGCATATCATTCCTTATTGTGACAAGCTAATTAAAAATTCGTCAAATTTGAAGGCGGGAAAATATTTCGGGATCGAAATATAAGTTTCTATCGACGCGCGAGGCTCAACGTTACTCTCTGAAAGAACGAAATCCCTTTCATTAAACCACTTTCATCTCTCACTTCCGTCATCGACTATTTAATTAATTTCCAATCCAATCCAACCGTATTTATTGTTTTACTCTTTGGCAAAAGTTCGTAGTGAATAATTCCCCTCCAATCTCGCTAAATTATCCGAAACTGTTACGCGCTCTCCAACCAATCCAATTATGCGCGTATTATGCATTACAATTGCATTCACTTAAGCATTCGTTAATTAATTAAAAACTTATTTCATTTTCTTTGAAGCCCAAGCCCCTTCCTGTATCATTAGTATAATTTAGTAGGATCTCGTATTGATCTACACGTAGGTGAAATATTGTATTGGGAGGGGGCGAGATGAACCTAATCTCACTTCAAGCAATTTCTTTATTTAGTATTTATTTTACTTCGACCAGGAAATTTTGTAAATGAATAAAATAAAAATGCAACGAAGAAAACTGAGACTTTATATTAAAAAGTGCGAAAAGAAAATCCTTGCAAATTTGTATTATAATTGTATTATAATCGAAATAATGCAAATTTGTATTATAATCGAGTATCATAAGTATCACGAGAGTCGAAACGTTCTGGTGGTTCTTTTACTTCAATCAGTTTCTCGTCGTTGAGTTACATTTTCCCAAATTGACAAAATGACAGAATCGTTTAAAATGCAAAATTAAGAATTTTTTATTGCCGATTCAAACATTTCTGAATTAAAAAAAAGAAATGAAGATGGATGAATTGGAACATTACATCCTGCTTTTTAATCATCTCTCATTGTTGAATTAAGGATTGATTATAATGTTATAAGTGTATCCAGTTCCTTTAAATTTTGTAGAATTGTAGGATCTGGAAGCGGCAACATATTTTTGAAATTGTCATTTATAACCGTGACGTCGGGAATAAAATTTGGCAAAACGTAAAACATGAAATGGGAAATTCGTGATAAAAATTGCGAAAAGAAAGTTTTATTATTTTAATTACAATTTATAGATATTCTCTATGAAATGGGAAATTCGTGATAAAAATTGCGAAAAGAAAGTTTTATTATTTTAATTATAATTTATAGATATTCTCTATGAAATGGGAAATTCGTGATAAAAATTGCGAAAAGAAAGTTTTATTGTTTTAATTATAATTTATAGATACTCTCTCTATCACATCCTGCTTTATCGTCAAAATCAACATCTCCCTTTGTCTCGCGATCTCCGCTTACGGTTACGAATGACGAGTGGAAAGCGAAATTTCCATGGGATTCGAACTTTAAATGTAAATTTCACCAAAGGATTGATCAATGGCGCACGTTTGGAACTTACAACGAGAATGTTCCAACGCTTTATACCCAACGCGACGTAACAAATCACAGTAACTGACTAGCTTGCCTGATCGAAGAGGAAATCGTCAGACAATCCCAGTAAACCGAATAAAAAAAAAAAAAAAAAAAAAAAAAAAAATAAGAACCTATAGTCGACGATGAAAAATGCAGAAATTACAATTTGTGTAACGAGAGCCTGCCTGAAAAGGATCAGGCATTCTGTCTATTACACGCCGCTTTCTAATCATCACCACATAATAATCGCGCGTTAATTAAAATTCCTAACGCAATCAATTACAGAAGCCGGCCTGGCGTACGTACCAGTTTCGTATTAAATTCCCGAAACCGTGTACCGGCTCGGTGTTGGCGTTATCAAAGGAAACGGGTCCCGCAATATCCAGCTACAAGCGAAAATCACGCGCGCTGGCATGATTTTAATTAAATTATCCCGACGGCGGAATAAGTTCCCATTATTTTCGGCGATGCGTTGTCCCACTGCGAGAGCTTGCCCGGTTTTCGTCCGCCGAACGCGAACAGAGCTTGTTATTGTCGTCACGTATTTTTAGCCGAGCATGGAAAATAGCCTTTTAATGGCGAAACGCGCGCGGCCGATCCATTTTAATCGGACTTGATTCGCGTGGGTTCCAAACTATCGGCGACGAGATACGAGCAAGCAGGTTCCCTTCGCGTACGGTTGATATCGTATAAAAAGATTCGTCGAACGGTGTAAAAGTCTGGAATTTCGCGCGCCGTGCGAACCTTCAGATTGCGATGAAATTGAAAACTTGACTGCTTCGTCCTTTTTTTTAACGCCAGAGATGGTTGAAACGACCAGTTATCGAATTTTTGTTGTTGGATGTCTGCCTGTTCTTGTGATAAACAGCGTGTTTTCTAGAGATTCAAATGATTTTTAAATGTATAAATAATAGTTTATAACTGTAGCTATTGTATTCAATATTCTCTTTAAGAATAAAAGAATTTCTCTTTAAAGTTTCGCTATTCTTATTCACTTATTAATTAATTATTTATTATTATTCATATTATTCTTATTATTTATTATTATACTTATTAATTGATTATTATTATTATTAATCATTTATTATTTATATTGTTACTTATTACTTATTACTTATTAATTGATTATTATTATTATTAATCATTTATCATTTATTATTAATTATTCACTTATTTAATAAAAGTTCATGCAACTAGAGATATTCTCTTTAAGAATAAAAGAATTTCTTTTTAAAGTTTCGCTATTCTCTTATTCACTCCAATGTCTCTGGATGGAAAACTTTAACATCTCACGCTTAAATGAGAGTCTCTTGTCCCAAAATTGCAATATTTCCTCAGTTTTAAGCAGATTTAAGTATAACCCGGGCAAGGTATATAATAATAAATCTATTACTACTCAATCATTTCTATCCAGTGAGAGAGAGATATCGTACCGACGAGTTCAAATAGCAAAAGAAAGCGACGAATACGGTTTGGTCACTCGTTATGGTCCGCAATCGGTTGCCAGCGCAAGCGGTCAAACTTCAGTCGAAACTGGTGTTAAAAGCACAGAAAGCACACAAATTATTTAAACGGCCAATCGTCGATTACAATTATCGAACATGAATACCTGAGATTCTATAAGAAAATATTCTTTGTGCTTCCTATCGTTCTTTTCAATAATAAATTATAGTTTGATCAAACAGGTTTTAGTTTACTCCGACATGTACAATATACTTTATTTGTATTTTCTTCCTATTTCATTTTGGATTTTTCTTTTATCTCGGAATCAATTTTATTTTATATTTAATACACCTCTGTAATGGAAATTTCACGATAGTTGATGTTGCGATCGTAGCTAGTTACGTGAGTTTTAATGACGTTACTGTCGCTTTGTGTGATTTCGGATGGTGGTCTGTGACGTTACACGGTTTTCAGTAGCTAGTAAGATAAAAATATATATTCAATCGAAAATGTTAATTTCAATTCTCTTGGGGAAAAGTGTCGATTTCTAAAGTGTCGACTATCGTGCTTTGCATATA